GGGGAGTACAAGCGGCTGGCACCCTTTTTTATGTCCGCTTCCCCTGTCCGCTCCACCTGGCTACACCTCTGGAAGGGGCTCCCGAAATTGCTTTGCCCCAGGCCCCCTGAATCCTCTGGGCGGCCCTGCTCAGTCTTGAGGGCTCGTGTGAGGCCTTCCACGCCCCCTTGGCACTGGGCTGAAGTTCATCCACAATGCAGACCCAGGACATTTTCAAAAGGATTCTCTGCTCCTTGAAGTCTTTAAACCATGATTTGAGGACTTCAATAGCACAGATGTAGGTGAGAGGTTTTTCGCAGGAGTGGGTGGGTGAAATTCGGTGGCCTGCATTGTGCAGGAGGTCAGACTAGATGATCATAATGGTCCCTTCTGACCTAAACATCTATGAAAAGCAGCCTCTAATTTTGGGTGCCCAGCTCACCAGTGTAAGGGAGAGGAGGGCCAGGCCCAGGTCCTCCTAAGTCCTGGACTGGACTGGGTCGTCATGAGAGGGGCTGCTGGCTCTGCTGCAGATACACATTTGTGACTGCCCACTCAATCCCCCTTTGACCCTCAGATCCGCTGTGTCACTAGCTCTTCTCCTTTGTACTGGGAGGGTGAGTTGGACCTACCTGTGAGGAAGGATGGAGGTTTGCGATGCTGGGCCCTTGGCGAAGGTGGGGTCACCAGTGTGCCAGGTGGGGACACATCATTGATCTCTCTGCAACAACAACAAAAGAGACTCCGAATGAGAGACGTCAGTCATTTTTTCACCCATAATTATACCTAAAGCTGCATTAATGGAATTTCTCTGGCAAAGGGGAGTCCAGCGCAAACAGAGAAAGGGATAAAACTACGGTTTTCAAAAGGGGCTTGCGATTTGGGTGTCTGTCTGAGGCACCATGGGCCAGATGCTCAGAAATGCTGAGCACCCAAAGCTCCAGCTGAAGTCAATGAGGGACTGAACTCATGTCCCACTGCTTCCTGCCGTTGTTTGCACTTTCGTTAGAGAGGAGAAAATCGACAGCTCCCAGTGAATTCTGGAGAAGGGATGCTTTGGAAGTTAAAGCATGGACTGGAACTCCGGAGAGCTGGCTTCAATCCCTGTGCACCAGGGATCAGGACCTGCAGCAGAGGCAGGCTCTTGGCAACCCAATGAGCACAGCAGGCCTGCAGCAAGATGCCTGATTGACTGTACCACCTGACTGGTCAGGAAAGGCTGCTGGCTGGTTGGCTCTTAAGCACAGCAGCAGCAGCAGCTCTCTGGCTGCTCAGTGTGTTCATATCTGTGCTGCGATCCTCCCAGCGTCTGCCACTTTTCCTCTGCTCCTGTCTTGCTCCAGCCCTGCTCCTAGTCCTGTTCTTACTTTGTTCCCCTGTCTTGCTCTTCACCTTGCTCCTGGTTCCAGCTTCCTCGCTCTGACCCGGGTTCCTGATCCCAACTCTGGCCCTTGGCTTGGCTATTAGTTCCTGGTTCCAGCTCTGATTCCTAGCATGGCTGCTGGTTCCTGACTCCAGCCCTGACCTTTGGTTTGGATCCGCTTCCCTGGCTCCTGCTCCACCCAGCAGGCCTGACTGTCCACAGCCTGGTATGTGACCTCCTTGGGCAAGTCACTTCATCTTTCACCAAACCTCAGTTCCCCACCCATGCGATGGGGATAGTAAGACTTCCTTCTCCCCCACACCGTGTGTTAGGTCCATTTAGACTGTAAACTCTTTGGGGCAGAGACTGCCTCCTACTATGTATTTGTCCAGGAATTAGCCCAATCTCAGCTGGGGCATCTTGGTGCTACCACAATCGAGTGGAGGAGGAAACTGTTAGAGTTTATCTGGTGTTTTTCCTCAGTGCTTTTAATTTTCAAACAAACCTTTTTCTACTAAGACGCACACTGTAACCCAACCCTTCTGTGACGGGTTCGGTCACAGAGACCCCGTTGGAATGGTCACCTGATGTGCTGAGACTACCTCTGAACCCATTTTCCCTGCCAGCTTGGGACTTCAGAACCCTGCCTTGTTGAGCCAGAGACGCTAACCTGCTGCAACACAGACCCAGGGTCTGAACCATGTCCCCAGAGCCGCAGACTTAACTGAAAACAGCTTAGCGAGTCCAGCTTCCAATGGGATCCAAACCCCAAATAAATCCGTTTTACTCTGTATAAAGCTTATACAGGGTAAACTGATAAATTGTCCGCTCTCTATAACACTGATAGAGGGATATGAACAGCTGTTTGCTTCCCCAGGTATTAATCACTTCTCTGGGTTAATTAATAAACAAAAGTGATTTTATTGAGTATAAAAAGTAGGATTTAAGTGGTTTCAAGTAATAACAGACAGAACAAAGTAAGTTACCAAGCAAAATAAAACAAAACACACAAGTCTAAGCCTAATACATTAAGAAACTGATTACAGGTAAATCTCACCCTCAGAGATGTTCCAATAAGCTTCTTTCACAGACTGGACTCCTTCCTAGTCTGGGCCCAATCCTTTCCCCTGGTACAATCCTTGTTAGTTCCAGCTCAGGTGTTAACTAGGGGATTTCTTCATGACTGGCCTGCACGTATGCAGTGGAGACTTGCAGGTAAACAGAGCCATCTACAGTCAATTGTCCTAGACAATTGGAGCCATCAAGATTCTAAACCACCATTCATGGCGCACACTTTGCATAATTACAATAGGACCTCAGAGTTATGCTGAATATTCCTAGTTTCAGATACAAGAATGATACATTCATACAAATAGGATGAACACACTCAGTAGATTATAAACTTTGTAATCATACCTTACAAGAGATCTTTTGCATAAAGCATATTCCAGTTACATCATATTCACACTTATAAACATACTTTTAGAAAGCATTATGGAGTGCAGTGTCACACCTTCCATCTCTGGGGTGAGAGAAGGAGCCAGGTGGCCTCATTCTTGCTTTGGTCGAGATGCACCAGGATCTCGGGATCCACCCGAGTGAAGGGTGAGCAGCAAAGTCCAATGGGGGCAGCTGGGAGACTGAAGTGGAAAAGAGGAACCAGCGCCTGAGGCTTTCGCCTGAAAAATTGCCACTGACAATTTTTAAATCAAGACTGGACTTTTTTCTGAAAGCTCTGCTCTGAGAATTACTTTGGGGAAGTTCTAGGCCTGCATTACACCGGTCACACTAGATGATCACAACAATCCTTTCTGGAATCTATGAAAGTCAGGGGTTGGAATGCCAATGATCTAAACAATGATAGAAATGGGAGGAAAGTTTGTAGTTGAAATGACGGAACTGTGGGTTGATTGGTTAATTCTAATGGAATGAGGCTGCTGCCCCATCTTGGACGTTGTTGATCTTGGGGTCCCTAAAATGGGAGCAGGGGGATGGGTGGACTGGAAGGAGCAAACTTCACCATAATGGCTGCCACCCCGGCCATCTCCTGGGACCCCAGGATCCACCATTATACCACTGGGCCTTCATTATCTTGGTCCTAAAAGGCCTCCTGACCAGAGTAAGCTGGAGAGGGGGATCCAAATGACATGACCACCTGCACCAGTTTTGACTAAATTCAGAACCACACCTGGAACATGAGCCTTGGCTTACCTGCTGTCACTCGCTCCCTACTGTGTCATTGTCCTTCCCCACTCTCTCCTCTTCCTTATCTCTCTCCTTCTGCCTTTGTCTAATAAGACTTCAGCTGAGTTAGCCAAGACTCCATCTTTTGCAACACCGCTGTAAGCCTGTAGGCATAAAGACAGCTAAAAGCAATGCTTTAAACAGCCTGACTCTGGTACAAGGTTGCCAGGTCTTGGAGCTGCTGAGACCATGTGCTGGGCCTGTGTTTCTCCAGCAGCAAGGCTGCAAGTGAAAGTCAGCACCAGACACAGAAGCTGTCTTTTCTCTAATCGATTTTATTTTCTCTCCCATTTTGTGTTTCATCTTAAAAGGAGATAGGATTGGACTCTAACAACGCTCTAGCCCTTCTATACTATCCTTTTCTCTTTCCCCGCCCAAAGGTCAGTTAATACAACCTTTAATAACACCGAAAAGGCTGTCAAGCATGGGTTTCTCCCAATAAAAACTCTACACAGTTAAAGGGAAAGAGAAAAAGGAGTATTGTTACAACAAAACCCTTACTTAACACTTTATATTTCAAATGCTTCAACAGTTTTTCCTTCTTTGTCTGGGTCTTTAATAAAAGGTTTAAAATATTTTAAATGATGGTCATTACACTGGGAGTTGCCTTGCTGGCAATAACTTGACACAGAATCCCAGACCACACTGAATTGTTTAATGTTGGAACAGTGAACACAGATTTCATTAACATCTTACCCCTTGTTGAGCTCAAGACACGCCCTTTACCAACACAAGATCAAATTGACTTCAGAGGGGCTACTCACATGATTTAAACTTAAGCACATCTTTAGGTGACTTCTGATTTGGGGCCATCGCATGTGTTGCCCAGCTATTTGAGAGCACTGCTTTATGCATTCTGGAGGCAGGAGGCCCATTCGTATTTCATGCATTTATAGTTTTCAAATGATTATCCTTTTTTTTTTTAATTAAGGAAACTTTTTGTTGCAAAACTTTACTTTTTTTCTTTTTAAATTGAGGGCACAACAGTCACCTGTACACAATGCTTTGGATTGCCAGTTTCAGGCTAAAACCCATCAATCCCAATAAAAAGCTTTCAAAACAAAACCTCAAGAATATAATAATTACATGAGATATATGCCCCCCAAATACCTGTATCAAAACTATGCAGAAAAAAAATCCTGCTTCTTATCTTCCCTTTTTGGATCTAATTGCCAGGACTACGCAACTTTTGAGGGGACCAGTATTTGAATCAATTCTAATAAAACCTAGATTTTTCAAACCCTTAATGAGGCAGAATTTCCTTAGACATAAATACTGACAATAAAATAATAATAATTAATAATAAAGACCTGCAAACTAGACACCTTTGGTACAAATCCAAGCTAAGGATAGTCTAATTTTTCATTAATGTCTTGATACTGGAGCATCATGGATATTACAATCTATACGGTATAGTAGTTGCTACGATATTTTGTTCGTACAAATTCTAGGAGGTTTACGGTAACAACTGTGTCTCCTAGGAGTTCTGTACAATAAAAGACAAGACTTCTACAAACAGCAGCGTTTGATGTGGCTCCTTCTTCCATCGCAGGGTTCAGCCAGTTTCTTAGTGTTATTTTTATAATGTCACAGGATGGAAGCGGACAATTAAAGAGCAGGTTATGTTTCTCTGTTTTTCCCACTGCCCAGCTCAGTGCCCTGTTTTCTGAATTGGATCAGAGATGATGAGAGAGACCTCAAAGGACCTGGAGAGCCTGGAATACAGGCTGGACTCTGCCCCTGTTCTGCGGTGTGAGAAGAAAACAGATTTAGTGCCCGTTTGCCAAATTTGTGAGACATGTGTCTTGGCTTGGAGGGTCTTCTCTACCAAAGAGTGGTTCCTGCGGGCCAGCGATGTCTCCCAAAGGAAGTTCCTGGTGGGGATCGTGAAGCGATTCAACAGCCTGGATTTGCTAAACTATGCTGAGAAAGTCCTGCAGACCTCCCACGGGAAGGATTTCACTTTCAGCCGGTCCCGAACCAGCTTCAAAGAAGACACGACCACATCTGCTTCTGACTGGACTTTGAATACAGCAATGCTAGAGCAAGCCATGTTGGAGACCTGGAGGTGGTTCAAAACCGGTTCCTACTGGACTAAAGCAAACTACACTCTGCTCTTGTTTCAGATGTGTAACCCTAAGTTACTGTTTATGGCTGCCAGCCTGGTCAGAGAACAGAGCGCCAGCTCAAAAACAGAAACAGGTAAACGGATTTCAGAGGTAAACAGAGAAACATGCTGGGTGACAGGAGAGATTGATCCCTGGCTTTCAAGATTAACCAAGGAGAGAGGATAAAGTCAAAGTGTCAGATTCTGATTCCCTGCCACTGTGTGATACTTTACTGTACAAATAGCCGTGTCAGGCCAGATCTTCAGCAGGTGTAAATCAGTGTAGTTCCATTGTCTGCCACTTTACACCACTGAATTCACAGAGGCCACTTGCAGAGTATGGTACTAACTCACTACGAGTAATGGAGGCAAAACCTGTCCTCAAGCTGCTATTCAGTTACCTGTGTTTTTTTAAAAACTAGTGGTGCAAATGCTCTTACTGGAGTTAAATACAAGTTTGGAAATGTAATGACCATAGGACAGATTTTCAAATAGGGTTTTATTTTACTTTTCAATGAGCATAGGTAAGAAAGTAAATACCTGTCCAGATCCTCCCTCATCTGGTGTAAACTGGTGCAGCTGCATTAACTCCAGTGGAGCTCCCTGGATTTACACCAGCTGGTTATCTGGTCCATGAACTTTAACTTAGATAGAACAGGAGCTCTAGCAGCAAACTTTGCTACATACAGTGAAATCAGATCTACTCTTGAGTTTTACTGGTGTTGTGTTTGTTTGTTTCCCTTCTGCTTCCTTTTCTAGCTCACATTAGTGATACTGAAAGGACAATTGCTTTAACTTATTATCACTTTATTTGGGACTGGAAGGCAATGGGGTTTTCCAGGATTCCCCCCTCTGTTTGAATCCCTTCCTTTGCTTTCCTATTCTCCATGCCCTGCATCACAGAGAGATGACCTTTTCTCTGGCACATCATTGCTTTTGTAATTATTAACATTTGGTTGCATCTGGTTATTAAGAGATTTAGGGTACATCTACACAGCAAAACAAACAAAATCTTGCGGCAGCGAGTCTCAGAGCCCAGGTCAAACTGACTTGGGCTCATGCTATAGGGCTAAAACCAGCAGTGTAGGTGTTCCCACTCAGGCTGGAGCCCAGGCTCTGTGCATTTCATCCACGCTATGACAGCTCAGCCCTGGGACTTGTTTGTGATCCTTCCTCTCCAGGAAACAAGCTGTTGTTTGCAGAGTGTGGTTCTGTTCAGCATGTGAGAGGCAGGGACAGAGGTACCAGGCCATTTGGGAACATATGCACCTGCATCAAATGAAACCACCAGAGACTCTGGGGAGTTTGGATTGTTGCAGTTTGACTGTGAATTATTTTCTTGTGCCAATACCAAAAGCCTGTGTTTCTCCTGATAATGCTCTCTCCACGCACTCACTCCCAGCACAGGATTTCTTAGATCAGGTCAGATGAAGTGGGTGTGAGTAACACAAGCATATAACATCTGAGGGTCTAGTTCAGTGTCTTCAAACATGGAATCTTGCAGCTAGGAGTGGGCAATACTGAGGCTTCAGAGGGTGGAGGAAAGAAACCCAGAATGCACCTTGCCAATTGTGATGTGCGATACATGGAGCTCGAGGTGGGATTCCTTCCGGTCCCCCTGCAGTGATCAGCTAGCCCCCTGATGCTTGATCTCTGACTATTCTTCCCTTAGGCATGCCTGTCATCTTAGATGATGAAGTGACTGGGCCAGCAACGCAAGGCATAACAGCTGAAGAGCAAAGCACAGTTGATTGTAGATATTGTTCATAGCTGTATTTATATCACAAACCTTCTGGTTAACATTTATATCCGCTAAGAACTTTCCCCTCCCTGATCCTTCCTGTCTCCAAGCACAGGGAGCAATTGGTGATGGGCAGTAGCAGAATACAAGCTGAAGGAGGAAAAAGCAACCCTGGCAACGGGCAGACAGAGCCAGATGGGATTCAGTCCTGGCAGGAGTCCTGACCCAGGTTTACCTCCAAGCAACCAGGACTCCCTCACATAGCCAGCCCATAGGAACTGGATGGGGTATATATGTGTGGGAACATGGTAACTGTCTGAAAGAGATGAATACCCAGAGAAGAGAGGAATTGTATAGGGTGGTCTGGGACAAGTACAACTAGCAATAACGGGGTGAAATAATTTCCTAATATGAGGTCTACTGTGCAAAAGACTTCCAGGTGAAATGGTGGAGACAGAAATACTCAAGTCCTTAAAACCCTGAAGGAACCAATCCTATACTAGCAAGGAGAATGGGGCAGATAACCTAACAGGTCCCTTTCATCTCTACCTCTGTGACCCCATGATTTAGCTCTGTTTGATTTGATTGCTCCTATGCTTGTGCAATTCTTTCAGAGGACGAGGAAGACAAATTCACTGTGGCCTTCACTGAGACCCAAAGCAGCTTTAAGCTACAGGAACACACAAAATCCAGCTCCCAGGTGCAATTGCAACCCACATCTCAATCCTTCCTGACTTCTTCCACAGCCCTAGAAAGTGGGGTCTCATCAGAAGGAACCAGCCAGTTTAGTGAAACAGGTACTAAAACAAAAGGAGCTAATGTGGGGTGTTACCCAAGATACTTCGAAAGCCAAGAGTGGAAGGGGTGGGCTATTTTTCCTGAGGTACCTTCAGCTACCGTAGAACTCAGAGTGCTGAAAATATCCCAGGGAACTGCGGGGTAATGAGAAATTCGGGGGAGCAGGTTTGGTAGCTAATAACTGATATTATGAATATACCCCAAGGCTCAGGCTCTCCTGGGAGTCCTTAACGTGCTATTGATTCTGCTGCCCCAGGCATAGGTGCCCAAGGGCAGATACCGTGCTTCTGGCCCAGAAACCTGGCGCACATCTATTGTGCGAGAGCTGTGTCAGAGGATGAGGATACATCCACCGTGTCTTCAATCGACCCAGCCCTCGCCGTTGTCCCTGCATCTTTCCAGTCAGCCTCCAGTGTCAACAAGTACAAGGACTTCATCCGCTGCCTGCCAACCCACCTGTCCAAGTATATCCTGGGTATGGCCTCTCTTCCTTCCCAAGCACAGCTGCCCCATGGGCACATCAATGCTGTACAACCATAGCTTGCGGCTAACCAGTTTGTCCTTGTAATTCCTCAGGGTTTCTGGATACAAAGAGCCTGAACAGGTGCACTTCTGTGAGCCACCACTGGGCTTTCCTGGTCAAAGAGGTCAAGCAGGAACATCTGTCGCATCGCCTAGTCCTGGAAGAGATCGTGTACTTGCAGGTACTGTGCCTTGGCGTTTGCCTCGCATTCTGCCATCTGGCTCTTACAGTATAGATCCTTTGCCCCTCAGACCCCTAGCCAATAGATGGGAGGGTCCAACATGCCTCAGAGCCCTGGGGATGTTCCTCCCAGTTTCACCCTGTTGTATTCTTCCTTACTCTCCAGAGCCAGGCTGGGTTACATCACACCTTCAGAAGTGGAAACACCTTTACTGGTCCTTTAAGATTCTGCTACTTCTGAGCAGGGGCTTATCAGCAAGATTGGTACCAAAGATTTTAGTCACAGATGAGAGCATAACGATATGCTGGATTTTAGTGCCCTGCAAGGGGATGCAGAGCTGTTCTACTGACTCCCTGAGGCAACCCAGACCAGGTGGATCTAAGGAGATCCACTCAGGAACATAAAAGTGCTGAGAGCCTCTGAGTGGGAAGAGAAAGCTAGAGGCATGTACAGAAGGTCCTGAAGGGGAAAGCCCTAAGAACCAGAAACGTGGGCTAAAGGCATACATCTGTAAGTGCAGTCCTGCCACAGGGCTTAAGTTAAGAATAGAGGCAAATCCCAGGAAAGGACAACTTTTAGGATTATACTCCATGATGCATGTTGTGTGAGGGATATTAGCATGGAAACACACTCCCTTCACACTGATACCCAAGCTATGCTTGATGAAAAGTTCACTTACACATGCAGCAAACCTAAGGTGAGTATTAGGTGAGCCCAAGCTGATACAGATACGTTTTGGGGCTCTGCCCCTTAGTGGGTTTGGTTGGGAGCCCTACATACCTTTATGGGTTTGACTCCAAATTTTGGCTGAACAGGGCAGCTTGGGATGAGATTTACCTTGGGATGTAGGATTTGTTTGACTCCCGAAGCAAGGAGGTGGGGAAACTGAAAATATATGCATGAATTCCAGGAACAAAGAATCACTCAGTGTGTCTTCCTGGCTGTGATAAACCCCACACCAATCAGAGGGAATCAGAGCAGGAACCAGACAGGCAGGCAGCCCCTTCTACATGGGTACGGAAACATACTGCTGTCCCACACATCACATACGCTCCCGCAATCAGGGCGTTGGTGTGTGGTGGGTCTCTATCCTTCCAGTCTAGAAGGACTGAGCGGCGGACTTCAGCACCACTGCCTAACAATCTGGAGACGACGGTGTTCTGTGATGCTAGACACACTTTCCCTGAATCCCCTCCTCTCCTCTCTCAGTCTCAGACCTCTGCTTGGTGGCTGATGATAGTAGTTTTCACCTTGCTCTTCCCTAGGACAGAACAGCCTTGAGTCTCCTAGTCTGTTGACCAACTTATGCTAGGGAGCTGACGTCAGCCTGCAAGCCATTATCAATAGACCTTCATGATGATGTGGGATCAGTGGTTACTTTGTAATGAAAAAGGTGCCGGGGTTCAAGCAATTTTTTTTTTTTTACATTCGTAACCGAGGCAGCAAGGCCAGAGGTGCGGGGGCTGCGAACTGCCAAGCCCAGAGGTGCCAGGGCTCAGCCCTGGTACAAATTAAGCACTGTGTGGGATGCCTGGAATATATGTTGGCCCTGAGCAGTTTACTATATGGCATTATTTGATCAGTGACTGGCAAATGCTTTATTAAAGTCTCCAGCAAACATCTTGCCAAGTTGCAATAGCGATTGTCCTCTTGTGTGAGCTGACTTTAGTTTTGTTAATGTAAATGGCCCTGTAACAGCATTCACTCACTGCAAGAGTACCTCCTCCTGGCCAGGCATGGCATAGCAGCTTTCTTCCCATATGGTGCCCTCTGCAAATGGGTACTCTGTTGCTGTAGTGGTTTCTCCTCCCTGAATTCACAGTGTTCCATCTTCATGACTCAGCCCTCTGTCTAGATCACTATATGGCAGGGGTGGGCAAACGTTTTGGGCTGAGGGCCACATCTGGGTGGGGAAATTGTATGCAGGGCTGGGGCAGGGCGTTGGGGTGCAGGAGGGAGTGCGGGCTGTGGGAGGGGCTGCGGTGGGCAGGAACAGGTTCAGGGCAAGGGATTGGGGCAGAGGAGGGTGCATGAGGGGGCTCAGGGAAGGGGGTTGGGTGCAGGAGGGGTGCAGAGTGCAGGAGGGAGCTCAAGGCAGGGGTGCAGGAGGGGTGCAGGAGGGGTGCGGACTATAGGAGGGAGCTCAGGGCAGGGAGTTGGGGTGAACGAGGGGTACAGGGTGCAGCAGGGGACTCAGGGTACAGGAGGGGTTCCAGCTCCGGCCTGGCACCGCTTACCTAAAGTGGCTCTGGGGTGGCAGCGGGGAGCTCCGGGGCCAGGGCACGCTCCCTGCATGCCTGCCCTGGCCCCACGCCATGTCGCTCTGGGAAGTGGCTGGCACCATGTCCCTGCGCAGCCCCTGGGGGAGAGGGAGGCACAGGGCCCTGTCCACTGCCCTTGCCACACCTCCAGGTACATCCCCCAAAGCTCCCATTGGCCGCGGTTCCCCGTTCCCTGCCAATGGGAGCTGTGGGGGGTGGTGCCTGGAGGCAAGGGCAATGCACGGAGCCCTCTGCCTCCCCATCCCAGTGGCCCCAGGGATGTGGTGCCGGCCGCTTTGGAGACCGGCGTGGGTCCTGCGGCACCACCGGCGTCAGGGGGCCAATCCCAAGGATCCAAAGCCCTGAGGGGCCGGATCCAGCCCATGGGCCGTAGGTTGTCCACCCCTGCTATATGGTATCAAAGTTTCAGTGGACCAGCTGTCCAGCTGGCATCTGCAACAGTCTTGTGCCACTTCCTAGGAACTGGGAGGGGAATCCAGGCCCACCCTGTCCTCTGGGTTCCAGCCTGGGGACCCTTTAACCAGCAGCCAAGATCTATACAATCCCTTTCCTTGCTGAGGTTTCCCTGGGCTTCTTCCTGTCTTACCTTATCTGGCTTTCTTTCCCTTGCAACTCCTCTGAGGTTGTCCCTGCTTCCAGGGCTAGAGTCCCAGGAGTTATTCTCCCACTTGGGTTTCCCCCTCTCCCTCTCTCTGCTCCCAGAGAGTGACTGCAGACTCTCCCCCTGCAGCCTCCTACTACTCCAAAGTTCCTCCCTTTAAAAATCTATCCCCACTCCTCACCTTCATCTGCAATTAGTGTTTGTAAGTCCCTGGGCCTCCCCTCAGGTGCAACTGGGAAGATCTGAGCCACCTTAACCCTTCAAGGCTGGTGTGGGGTGAACATCTCAACACAGAGCCCTTGGAGTCTTCTCAGTCTGGTTAGTTACTTTCCTGTAGCCCAACTGCTCTGTCAATCATCACCCTCTTCTGGTTAAAAAAGTATTGGTGGACCCAGCAACCCCCAAAGTTGTTGGAAGCAGATTTGCTTTCAAGTTTGGCAGCTCTGGCACATCTCCATGAAAAGTACCAGGCTCCTGGTTTGTATTAGAGCTGGTGGAAAAACACCAACTGCTTTTCACAGGAAATTTTTTAAAATTATGGGGTTTTAATTTCTCATAAAAATCTTGGTTTCCGGTTGTCAGAGTCCCTCCCCACTTTGAACTCTGGGGTACAGATGTGGGGACCCATATGAAAGACCCCCTAAGCTTATATTCCACCACCTTAGGTTAAAAACTTCCCCAAGGCACAAATTCCTTTCCTTGTCCTTGGACGGTATTTCTTCCACCACCAAGTGATTTAAACAGACATTCAGGGAGGGGCTACTTGGAGCCCTTTCCCCCCCCCCCCAAATATCCCCCCAAGCTTCTTCACCCCCTTTCCTGGGGAGGTTTGAGAATAATATAGCAACCAATAGCTTAACAAGGTGAGCACAGACCAAACCCTTGGGTTTTTAGGACACTAAAAACCAGTCAGGTTATTAAAAGAACTTTATTATAAAGAAAAAAGTAAAAGAAGCATCTCTGTAAAATCAGGATGGAAGGTAATTTTACAGGGTAATAAAAAGATTTAAAACACAGAGGATTCCCCTCTAGGCTCAATTTCAAAGTTACAAAACAGGAATAACCCCCCCTCTAAGCATAGGGAAAATTCACAAGCTAAAACAAAAGATAATCTAACACATTTCCTTGCTTTACTTACAATTTTTGTAATCTTAGATGCTTATTTCAGGTAGAGTTTTAGGAGAGGTTTTTTTTCCTGTCTGGTCCCTCTCTCTGTCCCAGGAGAGTACTAAACAAAAGAGCACAAACAAAATCTCCCCCCCACAGATTTGAAAGTGTCTTCTTTTCCCATTTGTCATTCTGATCAGGTGCCAACTATGTTAATTGAACTGATTAACCCCTTACAGGTAAGTGATTCTGTACCTCTGGCCAGGAGGGATTTGATGTTACTGCATACATAAAGGTTGTTACCCTTCCCTTTATATTTAGGACACGGGTTTTCCCCATTTCTCTCTACTTTTCCAGTGGCAAATAGGGAAAAGGGGAAAAAAGAGGGAGCAGCAAAGAGGAAGGGAGAGAAAGGGGGGAAATGAATGGGAAAAAACAATTTGGAAAGTAATAAAAAAAATTTACAGGATTTTTTTAATGCAAAAAAAAAGAAAAAGAAAAAGAAAAAAGGCCAAAATGGTTGAAAAATATTTGATGGAAAAGTTTCAACCAGCTGTAGTGAATACATCCAGCCAGATTCTGCTCCCTTTTCACATCTCACTCTGGTGCCTTCATCTAATACTTTGTATTTTGGTTCTGTCACATGCACAAAAAATGCAAATTCTCACCCCACATGGTGATAATTCATTTCAGGTTGAATCACAAATATTTGGGTTTCAAACAATTCAGCTGTTTTGCAATGCTTCCTCCTCTCTGGTAAGGTCATGTTCCTGTGTGTTGTGCCATATGTATCTACAATTCCGTTGCTGGAGAGCTGCACCTTTAAATAGGCAACAGGGCTGTGAGACAACTGCTTTCAAATAAAGAAGTGTTAGTTGTTATTTAGCAATGACATTTCACCAGAATTGATTTGGAAAAAATGACTGTGACCACTAATCACAGCCCCTGGTGATAAAGGCGTCATGCTCAGCTCCAAGTAAAAACATCTCAGTGAAAACTCCGGCAGTGTGTCTTGCTGTCTATCCCATTTATATCTCCTGAGAACCTATAAATAAACATGTGCACAGCAAGACCTGAGGCCCAACACTACAATAACAAACTGGTGTGTGAGTACCAGCTCTGAGGAGCAACCCTACCAGAACAAATCAGTGTATGCAGCCCAATGTGCTTAAGAAACTCATCAATAACAAACCAGCGCATGCAGCTCAGCCTTCGTGTACAAGAGCTCACAGAAGTGAATGTAGTTCTGAACTGAAGAAAATAAGCGCTGCTTGCTATTCCCTCTTGCTGTACATTTGGCCTTTGATGTTTATTCCAGGGGTCGTGTCCTAGGGGAGCATTTCCCAGCTATGCTAAAATGACCATCGTTGTAATTCCAAGGATAACTAAAGATGGAGAGATCATCCCAGCAAGAAGCCACAGATGGAAACGCAGAGGAAAGGTATGTCGCAGGTATATCCAAAGGGCCTTTCAGGGTAAGTGAGAGCAGCCTCTTATGGATCTTGGGAAGCAGAATCATAGAAAAGTAGGGCTGGAAGGGACCTTGAGAGGTCATCTAGTCCTACCCCCAACACTGAAACAGGATTAAGTTCTGCTAGAGCATCCCTAACAGATTTTTGTCTAACCCATTCTTAAAAACCTCCAGTAACAGGGATTCCACAACCTCTCTTGGCAACCTGTTCCAATGCTTAATGATCTTGATAGTTAGAAAGTTTTCATAATATCTAACCTAAATCTCCCTTGTTGCAAACTAAGCCAATCACTTCTTGTCCTGCCCTTGGTGGACATGGAGAACGTCCTCTTTATTACAACCTTCTCATATATGAAGACTGTTATTGGGTACCCTCTCAATCTGCTCTTCTCTGGACTACACATGCTCAGCTCTTTCAACCTTTCCTCATAGTTCAGGTTTTCTAAACCTTTTATCATCCTTGTCGCTCTCCTCAGGACTCTCTACCATCTCTCCACATCTTTCTTAACGTGTGGCGCCCAGGACTGGACACATCCTCTAGCTGAGGCCTCACCAGTGTTGAATAGAACAGAACAATTACCTCCCGTGACTTGCATTTGATACTCCTATTAATACATCCCAGCATGATATTTCTCTTTTTCACAACAGCATAACATTTTTGACTCATATTCAGTTTGTGATCCACTATAACCCCCAGATTCTTTTCTGCAGTGTCACTGCCTAGCCAGTTATTCCCCAATTCATAGAAATCATAGAAATGTAGGGCTGGAAGGGACCCCGAGAGGTCATCAAATCCAACCCCCTGTGCTGAGGCAGGATTAAGTAAACCTAGACAATCCCAGACAGCTATTTGTCCAACCCGTTCTTAAAAGCCTCCAGTGATGGGGATTCCACAATCTCCCTTGGGAACCCATTCTGGAGTTTAGCCACCCTTAGAGTTAGAAAGATTTTCTTAATACCTAACCTAAATCTCCCCTGCTACAGAATAAGCCCATTACTTCTTGTCCTACCTTCAGTGGACATGGAGATCAATTGACCATCATCCTCTTTATAATAACCCTTAATGTATTTGAAGACTATCATCATTAAGTTGTGTATTTAATTTTTCCTTCCTAAGTGTAATATTTTGCACTTTCCTTTATTGATTTTCATCTTATTGGTTTCAGACCAATTCTCCAATTTATCAAGATCATTTTGAATTCTAATCCTGTCCTCCAAAGTGCTTGCAACCCCTCTCAGCTTGGTTTCATCCACAAATTTTATGTTGACTCTATATTCTGTCATTCAAGTTGGTAATGAAAATATTGAATAGCAGCAGATCCAAGACATCCTCTGCAATACCCCTCTTGATATGTCCTCCCAGTCCGACAGTAAATCATTGATAACTACTCTTTGAGAACAGTATTTCAATCTGTTGTGCACCTACATTATACCAATTTCATCTATCCCACATTTCCCTAGTTTGCTTATGAGAATTTCATGTGGGACTGTGTCAAAAGCCTCACTAAAATCAAGATATATCACATCTACTGCTTCCCCCCATCACTAGGCCTGTCACCCTGTCAAAGAAAGAAACTAGATTGTTTTGGGATGATTTGTTCTTGACAAATCCATGTTGTCTGTTACTTGTCACCTTATTATTCTCGAGATCAGGGGTCTCAAACACACAGCCCGTGGGTAGCATGCGGCCTGCAGGGTTTTTTTCTGCATCCCACCAGCTCCCCACGCCCCCCCCCAGTGCTTACCTAGAGCGGCTCTGGCCCAGTGTGCACCGCGGGCAGGGCAGACTCCCTGCCTGCCTACCCTGACCCCGCACTGCTCCGGGAAACAGCTGGAACCTGGGGGAGGGCCCAGGGGTCTGTGTGTTGTCCTTGCTTTGAGGCACCACCCTCCGCAGCTCCCACTGGCTGGGAACGGGGAACCGCGGCCAATGGGAGCTTCGGAAGAGGTACCTGGAGGAGCAGCCAGGGCAACACACGGAGCCCTTTACTCCCCACCCCCAGGTTCCGGCCACTTCCCAGAGCGGCGCGGGGGCAGGGCAGGCAGACAGGGAGCCTGCCCTGCCCCCGGTGAGTGCTGGGCCAGAGCCCATCCCCGAACCCCTCCTGCAGCCGAACCCCCTGCCCTGAGCCCCCTGCTGCCGCCTCACCCCTCCTGCACCCCACACCCCAACTCCCTGCCCTGAGCCCCCTGCCGCACCCTGCACACCTCCTGCACCTCAACTCCCTGTCCTGAGCCCCGCCACACCCCGCACCCCTCCTGCACCCCCTGGGGGCAAAGAGGGGGCAGAGTTGGGGTGGGGATTTCAGGGAAGGGGTTGGAATGGGGGCAGGGGCAGGACCTCATGGAAGGGAGGGCAGGGCCGGGGGCAGCCGGGGAGGCGACTGTCAGTGGTGCGGCCCTCGGGCCAATGTATTAGTCCTCATGTGGCCTTCGTGGTCATTTGAGTTTGAGACCCCTGCTCTAGATGCTTACAAACTTGTTGTTAAAAATTTGTTCCAGTATCTTTCTAGGTATCAAAGTTAGGGTGACTGGTCTATAATTCCCCGGCTCTTCCTCTTCTCCCCTTGTTAAAGATAGGTGCTATGTTTGCCCCTTTCCAGTCCTCTGGGACCCCACCCCTCTTCCATGTGTTCTCATAGATAATTGCTAATGATTCAGAGATTGCTTCAGCTAATTCCTTAAGAACTCTAAGGGAAATCCATCGGGCCCTGTTGATTTGAATACATTTAACTTATCTAAATAATTCTTTAACTTGTTCTTTCCCTATTCTGTCCTATGTTCCTTCCCGCTGGTTATTAATATTAATTTTGTTGAGCATCTGGTCACAATTAACCTTTTTAGTGAACACTGAGGCAAAAAAAGCAGTAAACATGTCAGCCTTCTCTGTTTCATCCATTATTCACTCTCTTTCCCCGTTATAGACCTACACCTTCCTTCAGCCTTCTCTTACTTCTAATGCATTTACAGTATTTCTTCTATTGCCTTTTACATCTCTTGCTAGTTGTAATTCATTTTCCTCCTTAGCCTCTCTGATTTTGTCCCTACAAGCTTTTGCTATTTTTTTATAGTCATCCGTAGCAATTTGTCCTAGTTTTTACTTTTTGTATGTTTCCTTTCTGATTTTCAGGTCATTAAAGAGCTCCACATGGAGTCATATTGGTCTCTTGTTGTTCTTCCTGTCTTTCTTCTGCATTGGGATAGGTTGCTATTTTGCAGTAAAGTTTGTCTCTTTTAGAAAGTGACAGGTCTCCTGAACTCCCTTTTCCCTTAGATTTCTTTCCCATGAGCCCATATCTACCAATTTCCTGTTTGCTGAAGTCTGCTTTTTTGAAGTTGTCTTTATTCTGCTGCTCTCACTCCTTCCTTTCCTTATAATCATGAACTCTGTCATTTCGTGATCAATTCTAAGTTGCCTTCCCCTTTGAGATGCTCAACCAGTTCCTCCTGGTTAGTCAGAATCAAATCTAAAATAGCCACCCCCTTACTTTTTCTGCCTTCAAAGACTTGTCCATAACACATTCTGAGAGTAGCTATAGTACACTGTACTCCAAGAAATGCCCCTGTCCTGACCCCAACATGCCCTCTATGTTGGCTGGGAAGGGGCCTGCATGGGGCACGTTCTCTGGGGTCAGTCCCCCATCACCCTTAAGGCCCCTTAGTGTAACTGAGGAGCAAGAGCAATAGGCAATCTCTTTCCAACAGAGTTATTTATTCCTATTTCCTTCCTCTCCGATCCTAGGAGGAGAACAACCTACAGGGGGCTTATCATGGCCAGATGACTGAAACTGTCCAGCTGGAGGAGAGAAACATCTTCTGCGGCTCCTATAACGTTCGTGTCCTTACAGACCAGTATGTACATGCCATGCACCCTTGCGTCAGTCACCACACTTAGCACTGGCAGCCCCTCTCCAACTCTGGGGATCTCAAAGCTCTTTATAAACCTATAGAGCCAACTGGTGGCTTCACCAGGTCAGTCGTGTCACCCAGGGATTCCTGCAGGTGCCTTGCCTCCCCTTAAATCCTATTTTCACCAGAGGGTGGTGCAGTTTGCATTCACACTAGACTATTGGTCAAGTGGGCTACAAGGGTGTTGAGGAACTGTATCCAAATCCTGCTAAAAGGATTAGCCTTGACCGTGCCTCTGCCATCAGGCTGTTCAGGGAGAGTTCCCTGGACACTCTAAGCTGGCTCTGAAAACGCTTTCAGTTAACTGCATAGGAACCACATAGCGAAATCAGCTTTCAAAATTAGTTAGGCTTGGAAAGAGCTTTGCCTAGTGGTTGGGCACCAGAACAGGAGCCAAGAACTCCTGCATTCTCTTTCTGGCTGATGCAACTGCTTCTGAAGTGAGTCACTTCAGTTTCCCTATCAGTAAAACGGGGGTAGCGTATGACAGGAGCGATCAGAGAATGTCTGGGAAATGCTTTGAAGATACGGAGCCTAATTCTTGCCTGCCTTCATTCTGTTAGAGAGACAAGGCGGGTGAGGTATTATCTTGTAATTGGACCAGCTTCAGCTGGTGAGCAAGACAAGCTTGTCTTTCTAATATCCTGGGACCAACAGGATGTAGCCGATCTGCCACTGCTAGCAGCAAATGGCTGCTGATGGGACACTACATGGGGTGGGCGCTGAGTTACTACAGAGAAATCTTTCCCAGGTGTCTGGCTGCTGGGTCTCGCTCCCATGCTGAGGGTCTAACCGATCACCATATTTGGGGTCAGGAAGGCATTTCCCTCCAGGTCAGATTAGCAGTGACTATGGGGTTTTTTTGCCTTCCTCTGCAGCATGGGGCATGGGGTCACTTGCAGCTTTAAACTAGTGTAAATGGTGGATTCTCTGTAACTTGAAGTCTTTAAACCATGATTTGAGGACTTCAGTAACTCAGCCAGAGGTTTGGGGTCTATTACTGGAGTGGGTGGGTGAGGTTCTGTGGTCTGCGATGTGCAGGAGGTCAGACTAGCTGATCATGATGATCCCTTCTGGCCTTAAAGTCCATGAGACACAGCTGCAACAACTTTGCACTCTTATGTCATTCTCACCTGTGCAGCAGGGCTGTGAAACACCACCAGATCAGAATGATAGTGTTTTACACCCCTTTGTACTAGTGAAAATGAAGACATGAGCTACAAGCCGGGGCGAATCAGGCCCAGTAAGTGCTGAGTATTATTAGTGCACAAGTGTGGAAAAAGCTATAGTTTCCTATGCATATTTATTTTTCAAAGGGTAACTGATGCTGTTATTTATTCAAAGTTTTGATGTAACTAGTGCAGAAGTCCCTGCATGAAAAATAAGGTTCACATTATTTACAAGGGTGTGTAACTTACTCATGATTTGTGTCCAAATTTCAGGGTTCGGTTCTGCCCCTCTTACGCATGCCTTCCCCCAGAATTAGTTTCACTGGAATCAGTGGAAGTATTTGTCTAGTAAGGTATTACCCAATGTGACCAAGAGTAGCAAAATCTAGTCCCTAAGCAGCACTTTCTGATGCCCATTACATAGGCAACGCTGGATTAGAACCCAGAATCTTCTGCTCCAATCACTTATGCTCCGGCCACATGATCTAAAGGAGAAGACTCCCCTCTGACTGTATGCACATATGTGTCGGCGTGTTTATATGAGGATCCAGATCACTGTGTGTGCAAGTCAGTTTGTGAGTGTGAGGGTGTGAAGGGGGGGAGGAGGCAATCGTATCAGCCTATGTGAGTCTTGGTGTGTGTGTGAGGCTGTGTCCCAGCTGTGTGTGTGTGTGTATCACAGGATATGTGTCTCAGTATGTGTGGACATGTGTATAAGCAAAACCTGAAATATGTATATTTCAATACGTTGTTGCTGCAAGAATTGGCATTTAAAAAAACAATGTCTGGGGAACCCTGACCACCAAACATGCCCTTGTATAAAGGCATTATAGTGCCTCAATTTATGAAATAGTGGGGTCAACAGTCCCCAGTGGGTCTCATCCCCTTCCCCTCTATGATTTATTATCTGTATACAAACATCAGCTGAAACCTTGGGTCTCAGCAACCAGAGCCATCCCTAGCCATTTTGGTGCCCTACGCAGCCTCCCTGTGGGGAGGGTGGGTGGTTGGGGTGTGTGTGTGTGTGTGTGTAGGTGGGCTGGCCCCAGGCCTTCGTTGGGGGGTGGGTGCGCAGGAGCAGGTTTGGGGGGCATGGGGGAACCGCCCCCCAACAGGAGCTGACAGAGCGAAGCGGGCTGGGGCTGGGTCGCTCCACGTCCTGCTGCCCGGTGAGTGCAGGGCACCTGACCCCTGGTGCAGTCCTCAGGGCAATGGTGGAGTGGGGGTGGGAGCGGAGCAGGGGCAGAGGCCATGGGGAAGAGGCGGAACAGCAGCTGGAGCAGCACCAGGAAATTTGGTGCCCCACGTAGCTGCGTACTTTGCGTATGGGTAAGGGTGGCCCTGTCAGCAGCCCTCCCGCTGGTACCTTGAGGGGTTCCATGTACCTTTCCAGGATGGCCCCTCAATTCTGTTCACTGAGCTGAGATACCATGGCATTGAGCAAAATACAGGTGCCTGTAAATAACAACTTACAGTGCTTTCCTGGCTAGCCCTGTAATGCTTTGGCAGATGCTCTCCTCAGTCTCTGCTTGCTTACCCAGGTCAGATCCACACAGGGTAATCCACTACAGTGGTGGGAACTTACTTGCCATTGGCTCAGCGGACCGCAAAGTCAGGTTCCTTAACGTGTTGGAGCTGAAGGAAGTGCCACCTGTGATCAGTGGCCATGCAGGGAGCATCAAGGCAGTGTTCCTCAACGAGAAGAAAGGGTTTGTGCTGAGTGCCAGCTTTGATCTCAGCATCAGGTGAGCAGTGCTGATACAAGGGTCACTGGACAGAGTGATCCAGTTTGCAATGATCTATTGAAAGGAAATTTTAAGCATAAAACCCGAAACCAAACCCAACATTGGGCATTTTTTCTAGAATCCTCCCCTCCCCCCATTTTCTGACTGTAATAATGAGATAAGAAAAACACATCATAGATATCCTAGTGTACTCCCTTGCTCATGCAGGACATTCCCCCTCTGGGCTTCCCCGTTTCATCAAGTACTGGAAGAAGAAGTAGCAAAGTACTCCAGGAAAACTGATTGTTGTGATATTTCTAAACCAGAGACATTGAGATATGTTTCTGATTAGCACCTGCGGTGAAATCCTGGCCTTGTTGAAGTCCATGCCAAAACTCCCACTCAGTTCAATAGGGCTAGGAGTTCACCCCTGAAGTTTGGGAGGCTTTTTTTAAATCTTCCCATCATTTTGATACCAACTCATTCCCATGGTATCTGACCACTTTCCAGTGCACTTGGAAGAAAGTATAGAGGCAGCTTTATACTATGCAAAGGCATACACTGGTGTAGGTCAGGATACATGTCCTCGTTGAAGTTGGGGAATGGGAAGTCTTATGTCATCTCTGTCACTAATTCTTAGGATCATAGAATCATAGAATATCAGGGTTGGAAGGGACCTCAGGAGGTCATCTAGTCCAACCCCCTGCTCAAAGCCGGACCAACACCAACTAAATCATCCCAGCCAGGGCTTTGTCAAGCCTGACCTTAAAAATATCTAAGGAAGGAGATTCCACCACCTCCCTAGGTAACACATTCCAGTGTTACTAATTTCAGGATACTAATAATCTGCTGCCACAATAGCCCTGCATTATGCCCACAAGCGGAGACCCAAGTCAGGTTCTCCAGCTCTGGGATGACAATGGCAGGGCCTGTTTCAAAGGCCACATCAGTGTAATAGGAGGGGAAAGAGTCTACACAGATATGGAGTCTTTGTCTCCCACCTGCTTCAGCATGGGATGGTCTTTGCTATATCCATGTGTTTGGGTTTTCTCAGTGAAGCGGCTGTAAGTCTTCTTGGCAGCTGCTTGATGGAAATGGGGCTGTTTGAAGGATTGTTACATTTGGAGGCCAGAGGTAGCCATTGCTGGGTACCCAGAGAAGCAATCCAGATGTATGGGGCCACCAGAACAAAATATAAGATCAGGTATCTAAATATTAGGGACTGATTCTACTGCCCTTACATCGGGCTTTTCTCAGTGTTACTTCATTGACCTCAGTGGAATTACTCCTGACTTACACCAGTGTATGTGCGAGGAGAACCAGGCCCATTAGCTGGCAATAATAACAAATAAGTCATTAATTAACAATTAATGAATCACAGGATTCTCCCCTTCTTGGTCTTTACTTTGCAGATGCTGGAATATATTCACTGGGGCTTGTGTGAAGATCCTTAACGGTCACACGGGGACCATCACTTGCCTGGACGTGTACAAAAACAGGATTGTGTCAGGAGCAAGAGATTGCATGGTCAAAGGTGAGCAAGCAATTGCTGAAATAGTCCCAAGGCTTTGATGGGGGGCCACCGCCAGCCGCATTCCAAATCCCAGTGGTAAGAGCAAAGGGGTTTGGATTGGCTTAGACCAGCAGGGAAAGTGGCCCAATATGTATATTTATAGCACAGACAGTGTGTGACCCTGACAACCAGCGCAGAAACCAGGGGGTGGATTTCAAACTCTCACAATGGAGCTTAGTTTGCTCTGCAAGCAATGGCCACGCATGCAACTCCTATTAGGGTGGTTTTATACAATATGAATGGCATTATGGTTATGGCAATGGGACTTGAGACACCTGGATTCAGCCCTCAGCTCTGCTATAGACTTCCTGTGGTGACCTTAGGATCTCAACTGTGGTTATAATGATACTCCATTGCTTTCTCTATTTGGTTTGTGAACGCTTCAGGGCAGGGTTTGTCTCCATGCAGCACCTAGCACAAGGGGGCTCTGAACTCAGCTGAGGCCTTTAGGTACAACTGTGGACTCAAATAAGAATTTGTATTCGCATTTTGCAGAGCGATACAGACAAATAAATGTGGACATTATTTATGTTTCTCCTTCCCACTTCTAACAGTGTGGGATTTAAACACCGGGCGATGCATTAAAACTTTAAAACACAAAGATGCCATTTGGACAGCTAAAATCAACAACACCCACATTGTGAGCGGTTGCGAAAAAGGGTTGGTGAAAGTGTGGCACGCTGATACGTGCGTGTTGATCAAGGTATGTGTCTTCCTAATCATAGCGTGCTCTGGAAACGTATTTGGGTGTTTTCTCTCTGTGTGCGGTCCCAGCTCTGCGCAGCTAGCTGGCCCAGCAGACCTCGATAGTACTACCTAGAAAGACCACTGACTCAGTTCAGTGGCAAAGGAGCTCAGCCAGGTTTACTGTCAACAAAGCACAGGACTAGCTCCCTGGATTTATGTCTATGGGTACCCTAACATATGCAGGCCCATTACAGTGGACTCAGCTCAGTCAGCAAGCAGGACTCTCTGCTGCCCCCTTGGCTAGACAAAGGATTAAGGCAAGGTACCCTGACATTTATAGACTGAGACAAATAACTGGAAAAAACATCTGACGCACCACCTTATGTGTTTCATGACATCTGTTTGTTATCTCCCCTGGTTCCCAATATCTTGAACAAAACATCCCTATTCATTGTTTTGTCAAACCATCTTAAACTAGATGGGGATGTATCTGTACTAGCTGGAATATATATATGCAAATATCTAGAGCCTAGTACACTAGCAACAACTTTGCCAAATTCATGTACTGGACAGTGAACTTGCAAACATCTGCTTTAATACATGGCCTGACTTTGATTCACAGTCTCAGATCTTACACTAGGCTCTCTCTTTCTCTACTACACACTGAATCATAGAAATGGAGGGTGAGAAGGGACCTGATCATCTAGTCTATTCCCCTGCACTGAGGCAGGATTAAGTTTACCTAAACCATCCCTGACGGATATTCATCTAGACTGTTCTTAAAATCCTCCATTGATGGGATGCCATAACCTCCCCAGGTAATCTGTTCCAATGCTCAACTATTCTTAGTTAGAAAGTTTTTCCTAATTACCTAAATCTGCCTTGCTGCAAGCTAAGCCAATCTGGACAGCTGAACTCTTGGGGGGTTAGACTAGATGAGCCTTGTGGTCCCTTCTAACCTCTATGAGTCTCTGATTCCCTTGGTGAACATGGAGAACAATTGATCACTGTCCTCTTTATAAAAACCCTTTACGTATCTGTTCACCCCAGCTAGTCATGGCTTTTTGTTTACACCAAAAGTTTTTTAAAAAGAAAGAAAGAAAAAAGTATGAAACTGGTAACCAATGATCAACAGAATTAGTGATGGCTGACCTGTGTAAGAGCCTATTGGCAAACAATTCACCAAATTAAAAATTGACAGTTGATCTGGTCTTTAATTTTTTGCTGTTTGCAGATATTTATATGATTGAGCTTTTGTTTGGGTGAACGTTCACAAGCAGGGATTTTTTGGATAATAGCTGTATTTCAGGGCTGGGGATGACGCATAGTTAGACTAAGAAATGAAATTTGTTTCTAGCAGAAACAAAAACAGTTTATAAAGATTAGGGATATCCAGACAGCTGCACTGTAATTTAAAGATCAGAGCCAGTTTGATTTCAGTCATACCAGTGTATCTCCTGTTCTTTGAGAGGCGAAAAGCAGTTTCTATTGATGGAAAAAAGTCTGATGGAATTGCATGTACAGATGTTTATCGAGGGTAAGATATTCCATTTCTAGATGACCCAAGTTTACATACGGCTCCTATTAGCTTGGTTAGGGGCAGTTTCATTTTGTCTTCCCTGGTTGATTATTCACTTAACAGACCCTAAAGGTCTCAGTTTAATTCTCAGCTGCAATAACATGCACATAGTGAGGGCCCTACCAAATTGAGGGTCCATTTTGGTCAATTTCATGGTTATAGGATTTTAAAAATAATACATTTCATGATTTCAGCTATTTAAATCTGAAATTTCATGGTGTTGTAACTGTCAGGGGTCCTGACCCAAAAAGGAGTGGGGGGATCGCGAGGTTACTGGGCGTGTGCGTGTGTGGAGGGGGGTTGCGGTACTGCTTCCCCTTCTTCTGCGCTGCTGCTGGCGGTGGTGCTGCCTTCAGAGCTGGGGGGCCGGAGAGCGGTGGCTGCAGGCTGGGCACCCAGCTCTGAGGGCAGCGCCAGCAGCCACACAGAAGTAAGGATGGTATGGTATGGGGTTGCCACCCTTACTTCTGCACTGCTGCTGGTGGGGTTCTGCCTTCAGAGCTGGGCACCCAGCCAACAGCCACCACTCTCCGGCCACCCAGCTCTGAAGTCAGCACAGAAGTAAAGGTGGCAATACTGCAACCTCCCTAAAATAACCCTGTGACCCCCCCTGCAACTCCCTTTTGGGTCAGGACCCCCAATCTGAGAAACTCTGATCTATATTATACAGATTTCACAGGGAGGCTAAAAACACACAAAATACCAGATTTCACAGGGGAAGACCAGATTTCATGGTCCGTGACACGTTTTTCGTAGTTGTGAATTTCATATGGCCCTACACATAGTACACACAGTGATTCTGGCCAATGAATGAATAAGTTCACATTAGTGTCTGGCCACCAAGAGTGAGCCTGGCATGTTTTACTTACAGTGACTACTGAATCAAAACTATTACCAAAAGGCTTATTGTAATCCTTTACAGAATCCACTATAAAGCATAGGCGGGCAGTATTGTAACATGAGATTGATTGGGGCTATGTGTATGCCCAGAATTCTTATAGTATGTTACACTATGTGACACGTGGCTCTTTCATGTTTCAGACCTTAGAAGGGCACCAAGGCCCAGTAAAATGCCTGGCCTTTGATCAATGGCATCTAGTGACAGGAAGCTCTGATGGATTTGTCCTGGGATGGAGCATGGTGGGAAAACATAAGAGATGTCTAATGGCTTTCAGGCACCCACAGTAGGTATCATTCACATGTTGGAATCCACAGATAACAAATGTCTACATGTTTCCTATAGCTCTGAATATAAATAAAGTGAACTCTGTTACCTGCTTAGGAATATGTCTACATCGAATGTGTTAATTCACAGTCCTAACACTTTAAAATTTTCCCTGTCCTGCAGGGAGCGGGGTTTTTGTTTTACAGGAATTCACTGTTATTCAGTGGAACAGTGACTCCCGAGTAAGGAATCCCCCGCAGAACAGATGGAATTAAAGTCCTAGGACTGTGTATCTTGCATGACTCGTACCTTCACAAGGGAATAGCAGCATTCAATGTTGTCCCATGACACAATAAAGCTAGACATTTGGGAAAACTATTATGTATGATATTATATATGGTGATGAAGAGGTCCTCAAGTGTACAGAAAAGCACTGATGGACTAAATACATGGGGTGAAATCCTGGCCCTACTGAAGAGAATGGGTGTTTTGCCATTGATTTCCAATATGGCCAGGATTTCACCCATGATGATAATATACCTTCAAGAAACATTATTAAGGTTGCAAAGGCAAAACCTCCAAAATTAGGGTATGCCAAAATGAAGGTTGCCTGTGCAACCTTAAATCAGTCCTCTTATGCGTATGCATTATGATACAGCATTTTAGTACATACTCATATATTGCCAAATTTCAAGTCTCGCTCCAAAGCCTGTTGATACAAGAGTTGTTCAATAAAAGGTCACAGCATTTTTAATAAGGAGAAAAACAATGTGTTTTTCCTTTGCCTTGTTATCGAAACATCTAAATCATTTTGACTGAAATTTCCCAAAAACATCCAACGTGAGGCAGACACCCAACATGGCAAATTTCAGCGCAGTTACGGTTAGATAGAGTTAAAGGCCATTGGAAAGTGGGTCTTATAACAGGAAGTGTTAGGCAAACTTAAAAATAGGTGGCAATACTAATCCTGCCTATAGTTAGTATGACGTGAGTGCAGGTGAAAAAACAGAATAAACAAAACACAATTCTTTGGCAGAAAAACTAATTCAGATCTTATGCCTTCTGGAAGTAAACTGTAAAGACTTTAGATGCAAATGATCCCAGCCATGATGAATGCTAACATCTAGGATTCAATCCACCTAAACTTGAGGTGGCTCTTATCCCAGTCCAGGGGCAAATGATCTGTGAGTCAAGGAGTTCAGGAAAACAAGATAATTCCCTTCTCTTTGTTATTGACATGGAAGCAGGGATGATTTAAGATTAAATAAAAGAAAAGGATTTTTTACCACCAAAAAAACCAACCCATTTTTTTGAGGAGTTTTTTCTGAGCTTCACCCCACAACCAAAAAAAATATAATATATCGTGCTCCAACACACCTCCTCTTTTTTTTTTTAAAACAAAAACACCCCTCCTCTCCCTCTTCCCCTTAAGATTAAATGGGATCCAGATGCATCAAAATTTCAGGAACCTCTAATATATATTCAGCAGCACGTTAAGCTACTTATTTTGGCAGAAAAGACTAACAGAAGATAGTGCATATGTGAAACATGGAGACATTAGTTTTGTTGTGGAAACCATTCCCTTTGCATATCGACATTTTGTGATTTTAACTGTGCTGTGATAAGACTACATCACCATACTGTTTGCATTTACTTTCAGTGGTTATTTAAAGGAAGAGATGTGATTGAAAATGCCTACTGGCAAAGCTAATATGCCGCGACTGGTCTTAAACACAGTGGTTGCTACGAATGACTGCTTCGTTCATCTTTTGAGCATGACCAACAAATTGTCTGGACTTCATAATTTTGGCCATCTCTCCATTCCAAAGGCAGCAATGATTAGGGAGGAATTTTCTGGGTGACTTTCATCCTCCCCAGCCTCTTTTAAACCTGACTAGTTCTCTCATCTACCCTGTAGGCAGAGATGGACCTGCTTCACTCACCATCCAAGAAAGAACATTGTTACTTCAATCTTCTCATGTAGGAATAAAGAATGTGCTTATGCTCCGGTGTTTTGTTTTCAGGGAAGTCCTGTATCTGGCGTTTCTGTATCTCCGAGTCATCAGTGGCTGCGCTGATGGAAAAATACGTATATTTAACTTCCTGACTGGGACCTGCCTGAAGGTGATGAGGGCCAATAGCAGAGGTGACCCTGTGGTGTCCTTCTGCATTGTAGAAAATAGGTGGGTAATAGCAGTTGCACTCAGACTCTGAGCCAGTTAAACAGACTGTGTTGCTCAAGAAATCATGTCCTTTTTACAGCCCTAACAAGTGGGGGTTTTTTAGAGGATTCTGCTGATTTATTGACTATGGATCACTGCAATATGTTATTCTATTAAGTAGGTGTGGTGTTTTGGTTTGGATTTCAATCCAAACTTCCCCAAAACATTGGATATTCATCCTGATGTTTAGATTCAGGCCCATTTTAGAGATGGGGCAAAGCTATAAAGTGGGATCAAGATTGCTATCTGAATTTCCTCAGAGTTTGGGTGGGTTCAGGATCAGGCCCACGTGTGCTCTTAACACACCAGTGTTCTACTGCATTTTCATAAATGTAAGAGATTGAAAAGGCCTACTCATCACATCCATCCTTCTAGACAAGAGTAGGCTTGTTCCCTCCAGTGTGTTCCCAGTGTGTTTTCACCCCGATTCAAGGGTCCCTAACAACAGGACAACCACCATTTCTCTTGGGAGCTATTTCACAGCCTAACAGTCAGAACATTTTTCCTTTTCATGAATTCATCCAGTGGTGAGCAGGAGCCGGTTCACACTGGTTCACGCGAACTGGTTGTTAAATTTAGAAGCCATTTTAGAACTGGTTGTTAGGGCTCCCCAGCCCCTCCACCGCCTTCCCCCCTCTCGCAGAGCCTCAGCATGCAGAGCCAGCGCCAGCGATCTGGACCGCTCCTGGGCAGCTCTGCAGTGTCTGCCGCTTTGAGCGGCATGGTAAGGGGGTGGGGCTGCGAGCTCCAGCGGGCCGCGCGGCATCCATACACGCTGCCCTGAGCAGCATGGTAAGGGGCCTGGGCTGGGAGGAGGGGTTGGATAAGGAGCAGGGAGCGGTTGGAGGGGGCGGAGGTTCTGGGGGGGCGGTCAGGGGATGGGGAACGGGAGGGGCTGGGTAGGCAGTCGCCACCCCAGAAAGTCCCAGCCAGGCTGGGGTTCGGCTAGGGCAGCCCCCCAGGCCAAGGGGGCCCCGACTCGCGGAACTAGGGAGGGTGCATGGTGTAGGGCTCAGAGTTATAGAAGGGGGCTGTTGGAGACAGGGCCGGCTCTAGGCACCAACAAGAAGGTGCTTGGGGTGGCACATTTCTAGGGGTGGCATTCCGGCGATGGCCATGCCGCCCCTAGAAATGTGCCCTCGCCGCCCCAGCTCACCTCCGCCTGCTCCCCTGAGTGCGCTGCCACCGCTCCGCCTCTCCTCGCCCCCTCCCTTCCAGGCTTGCTGCGCGCCAAACAGCTGTTTTGAGCGGCAAGCCTGGGAGGGAGGGAGAAGCCGAGCGGCGGTGCGCTCCGGGGAGGCGGCAGCGGTGGAGCGGTGGTGAGCTGGGGCAGATAGTGGTTCCTCTAACCCCCCGCCCAGTTACTTCCTGCCTCTCCCTCGCCTGAGGGGGGGGAGGCGGTGTGTTCAGGGGAGCAGGCAGAGTGGAGGTGAGCAAGGGCGGGAGGTTGAGAGGGAAGCCACAGGAAGCAACGGGGGGTGGGGGGGGATGCAGCATGCCCGGGGGAGGAGGTGGGGCTGGGGATAGGGGAAGGGGCGGAGCCAGGGGCAGGGAGGTCATGAAAAAAAGCGGGCGGCGGCCAAAAATTTTTTTGCTTGCGGCGGCAAAAATCCTAGAGCCAGCCCTGGATGGAGAAGAGGCTCGGTGCTAGAGGGGGGTGCATGGAGCAGCACCGTTTGGGGGGCGCGAGGCTAGGGAAGGGCTGCAGGGCCACGCATCCTGTCTTGGGGCAGGGGCCGCGCTGCGGCTGGTGCCTGCGCTGCGCAGCCATCCGGGCAGCCGCTCTGGGGCCCCGCGCGCAGAGGCCAATCCGATGCTGCCTCGCTCAGCAGCCTGAGCTCCATGCTGCTTCCTGCCCGGCCCAGGAAGTGCGACCGGCTGCGCTGGGCAGGGAGATCAGGCATCATGTGACTGGGCGCCGCGTAGCGCCGCGGAGTCAGGCCCCTGGCAGCAGCAGCCTCCTCTGCCCCAGGAGCTGGGCAAGGGCAGCTGGTGCCATGGCTGGGGGCTGCCTTGGGCATGCTGGGGCAAGCCCCCCCCACAGTCTCTCCCACTCCTGCACTGTGGGGCTGTCCGGCCTCTGCCACTCAGGGACGCTCACATCCCACGGTGGGGAGTCTGGCAGATGGCAGCCTTTGCCTGCAGGGAGCCCCCGCCCCCCATGCTGGGAGCGACCTCACTGGTGCAAGGGCTACAGGACTCCTGCACCACCAGCAGGCACCTGGGATGGAGAATGGGCCTGGGGAGGGCAGGGGGGCAGGACAGAGCCTGGGGGGCAGAATGGAGCCGGGGGGGTGAAAGGGGGCAGGACAGAGGCACATCCCTTAAATCAGAACTTTTTATAGGGAACCAGTTGTTAACATTTTGGCAGCTCATCACTGATTTCATCCCAGTATTCCCAGTTGTATCTAGCAATGCATGAACTCAACAGTGTTCTTTACATTCAGTTTACATTAATTGGAACAAGCTGGCAATGATCAGACGATCATCAGGGCTGGCAACAATCTAAACACTGCTCATTTTCTTTTCCCCAACCAAACAATTGCAACTTCAATTCTAGTTATGCACCTCAGCATCTGCACCAGTGCACGCAAGCAATCTGGCACAACAGGTAACTGCTACACCATTATTACAAGGTGTGTTTCTTAGCACTGTTCCTCTTCCCTTCCTAGGATGGTGATCAATGCTCTGAGCAGCATATTGATGTTCCAATTTGAGGATGTAGAGTGGGACTACACGCTACAGGCCGACAGAGAGGAAGTAACAAAGGCTAAGGAAAAGCACAATGAAATCAGGGTCAGAATGCTGCCCTATCCATATGTTCACTCTCGGCACGTGAAACATGATGTTGCCAGCCACAGGAAGACACTTTATTCCGAGGAGAAACCAGATGAAGACCAGATAATGTTGGCATACTTGATTCGCCGTCGGTCAACAAGGGATTGCGGGACACCGTTAGGTACTGTATACATCTCTTGCAGTGCACTGTGTTAAAGGGGCAGCCCCAACCTGAAATCTAGTCAGTTTAGAAAATGAGTTAGGAAATATTTTCAGGTACCCACTGTCCTAGCCCAATCCCCCACCATTGTCCAGGGATGTGTGCTAGACGGCTGCTGCATTTTAGCGATGTATATATTTTGTAAGGCCCTTTAGGATCCTGTGAGAAGCAGGGTGCAACAGAAAATTGAGGCCTTAATTCAGCAAGCTATTCAAGTGTCTAATTTTAAGTATGTGAGTACTCTCACTGAAGTCAGTGGGATTACTCATGTGCTTAAAGTTAGGCATATGCTTAAGTACCTGCTGAGTGGTGCACAAATTATTACTTATTTTAAAATTCCCCCCCACAGTATAAGTCTAAGCAGCATCTGTGATTAGACTTCACAACCAAGATGAAGATTAAATCCAACAGGTTTGCACTCTTCAAACTGTAACATTCCGATGCAGTCTGAGTCTATGCCCTGGTCTACACTAGGACTTTAGGTTGAATTTAGCAGCGTTAAATCGATGTAAACCTGCACCCGTCCACACGATGAAGCCCTTTATTTCGACTTAAAGGGCTCTTAAAATAGATTTCCTTACTCCACCCCTGACAAGTGGATTAGCACTTAAATCGGCCTTGCCGGGTCGAATTTGGGGTACTGTGGACACAATTCGACGGTATTGGCCTCCGGGAGCTATCCCAGAGTACTCCATTGTGACCGCTCTGGACAGCACTCTCAACTCAGATGCACTGGCCAGGTAGACAGGAAAAGAACCGCGAACTTTTGAATCTCATTTCCTGTTTGGCCAGCGTGGCAAGCTGCAGGTGACCATGCAGAGCTCATCAGCAGAGGTGACCATGATGGAATCCCAGAATCACAAAAGAGCTCCAGCATGGACTGAACGGGAGGTGTGGGATCCGATCGCTATATGGGGAGAGGAATCCGTGCTATCAGAACTCCGGTCCAGTTTTCGAAATGCCAAAACCTTTGTCAAAATCTCCCAGGGCATGAAGGACAGAGGCCATAACAGGGACCCGAAGTAGTGCTGCATGAAACTTAAGGAGCTGAGGCAAGCCTACCAGAAAACCAGAGAGGCGAACGGCTGGTCCGGGTCAGAGCCCCAAACATGCCGCTTCTATGATGAGCTGCATGCCATTTTAGGGGGTTCAGCCACCACTACCCCAGCCGTGTTGTTTGACTCCTTCAATGGAGATGGAGGCAACACGGAAGCAGGTTTTGGGGACGAAGAAGATGATGATGATGATGATGAGGTTGTAGATAGCTCACAGCAAGCAAGCGGAGAAACCGGTTTTCCCGACAGCCAGGAACTGTTTCTCACCATGGACCTGGAGCCAGTACCCCCCGAACCCACCCAAGGCTGCCTCCTGGACCCGGCAGGCGGAGAAGGGACCTCCGGTGAGTGTACCTTTTAAAATACTATACATGGTTTAAAAGCAAGCATGTGAAAGGATTAATTTGCCCTGGCATTTGTGGCTCTTCTGGATGTACTCCCAAAGCCTTTGCAAAAGGTTTCTGGGGAGGGCAGCCTTGTTGCGTCCTCCATGCTAGGACACTTTACCACTCCAGGCCAGTAACACGTACTGGGGAATCATTGTACAACAAAGCATTGCAGTGTATGTTTGCTGGCGTTCAAACAACATCCGTTCTTTGTCTCTCTTTGTTATCCTCAGGAGAGTGAGATATCATTCATGGTCACCTGGTTGAAATAGGGTGCTTTTCTTCAGGGGACACTCAGAGGTGCCCGTTCCTGCTGGGCTGTTTGCCTGTGGCTGAACAGAAACGTTCCCCGCTGTTAGCCACGGGGAGGGGAGAGGGTTGAGGGGGTAGCCACGCAGTGGGGGGAGGCAAAATGCGACCTTGTAACGAAAGCACATGTGCTATGTATGTAATGTTAACAGCAAGGTTTACTCTGAAAGAGTGTAGCCACTGATTTATAAAATGTGTCTTTTTAAATACCGCTGTCCCTTTTTTTTTCTCCACCAGTTGCATGTGTTTAAATGATCACAGGATCTTCTCCTTCCCAGAGGCTAGTGAAGATTAGAAACAAAAAAAAAAACGCACTTGTGATGAAATGTTCTCTGAGCTCATGCTGTCCTCCCGCACTGACAGAGCACAGACGAATGTGTGGAGGCAAATAATGTCAGAGTGCAGGAAAGCACAAAATGACCAGGAGGAGAGGTGGCGGGCTGAAGAGAGTAAGTGGCGGGCTGAAGAGAGGGCTGAAGCTCAAATGTGGCGACAGCGTGATGAGAGGAGGCAGGATTCAATGCTGAGGCTGCTGGAGGACCAAACCAGTATGCTCCAGTGTATGGTTGAGCTGCAGCAAAGGCAGCTGGAGCACAGACTGCCACTACAGCCCCTGTGTAACCAACCGCCCTCCTCCCCAAGTTCCATAGCCTCCACACCCAGATGCCCAAGAACACGGCGGGGGGGCCTCCGGCCAACCAGCCACTCCACCACAGAGGATTGCCCAAAAAACAGAAGGCTGGCATTCAATAAATTTTAAAGTTGTAAACTTTTAAAGTGCTGTGTGGCATTTTCCTTCCCTCCTCCACCACCCCTCCTGGGCTACCTTGGTAGTCATCCCCCTATTTGTGTGATGAATGAATAAAGAATGCATGAATGTGAAGCAAAAATGACTTTATTGCCTCTGCAAGCAATGATTAAAGGGAGGAGGGGAGAGTGGTTAGCTTGCAGGGAAGTAGAGTGAACCAAGGGGCGGGGGGTTTTATCAAGGAGAAACAACAGAACTTTCACACCGTAGCCTGGCCAGTCATGAAACTGGTTTTCAAAGCTTCTCTGATGCATACCGCGCCCTCCTGTGCTCTTCTAACCGCCCTGGTGTCTGGCTGCGCGTAACCAGCAGCCAGGCGATTTGCCTCAACCTCCCACCCCGCCATAAACGTCTCCCCCTTACTCTCACAGATATTGTGGAGCGCACAGCAAAAAGTAATAACAGTGGGAATATTGGTTTCGCTGAGGTCTAAGCGAGTCAGTAAACTGCGCCAGCGCGCCTTTAAATGTCCAAATGCACATTCTACCACCATTCTGCACTTGCTCAGCCTGTAGTTGAACAGTTCCTGACTACAGTCCAGGCTGCCTGTGTACGGCTTCATGAGCCATGGCATTAAGGGGTAGGCTGGGTCCCCAAGGATAACTATAGGCATTTCAACATCCCCAACAGTTATTTTCTGGTCTGGAAATAAAGTCCCTTCCTGCAACTTTTGAAACAGACCAGAGTTCCTGAAGATGCGAGCGTCATGTACCTTTCCCGGCCATCCCATGTTTGATGTTGGTGAAACGTCCCTTGTGATCCACCAGAGCTTGCAGCACTATTGAAAAGTACCCCTTGCGGTTTATGTACTCGGCGGCTTGGTGCTCCGGTGCCAAGATAGGGATATGGGTTCCGTCTATGGCCCCACCACAGTTAGGGAATCCCATTGCAGCAAAGCCATCCACTATGACCTGCACATTTCCCAGGGTCACTACCCTTGATATCAGCAGATCTTTGATTGCGTGGGCTACTTGCATCACAGCAGCCCCCACAGTAGATTTGCCCACTCCAAACTGATTCCCAACTGACCGGTAGCTGTCTGGCGTTGCAAGCTTCCACAGGGCTATCGCCACTCGCTTCTCAACTGTGAGGGCTGCTCTCATCTTGGTATTCATGCGCTTTAGGGCAGGGGAAAGCAAGTCACAAAGTTCCATGAAAGTGTCCTTACGCATGCGAAAGTTTCGCAGCCACTGGGAATCGTCCCAGACCTGCAACACTATGAGGTCCCACCAGTCTGTGCTTGTTTCCTGAGCCCAGAATCGGCGTTCCACAGCATGAACCTGCCCCATTAGCACCATGATGCATGCATTGGCAGGGCCCATGCTTTCAGAGAAATCTGTGTCCATGTCCTGATCACTCACGTGACCGCACTGACGTTGCCTCCTCTCCCAATATCGCTCTGCCAGGTTCTGGTGCTGCATATACTGCTGGATAATGCATGTGGTGTTTAATGTGCTCCTAATTGCCAAAGTGAGCTGAGCAGCTTCCATGCTTGCCTTGGTATGGCGTCTGCACAGAAAAAAGGCGCGGAACGATTGTCTGCCGTTGCTCTGACGGAGGGAGGGGCGACTGATGACATGGCTTACAGGGTTGGCTTACAGGGAATTAAAATCAACAAAGGGGGTGGCTTTACATCAATGAGTATTTCAGGCAGGACTTCACGGAGGGTTCCAATAAGAAATGGTGCACCTAAGTAATTGTTCTTATTGGAACAAGGAGGTTGGTCTGGCCTCTGATTGATACATGGCTAGATTTACCTTGCTGCACCTTCTCTGTGAGTGACTGCAGTGTGACCTAGAGGAATGAGTCCCCTAGACGGGGGAGGGGGAGAAGCAAATGAGTACAAAACAAATCTGGTCTATTTCTTGCTTTGATCCACTCCATCTATCTTTTCCTGCTTCGAGCAGGGGTTGGACTAGATGACCTTCTGGTGTCCCTTCCAACCCTTATATTCTATGATTCTATGATCTTTGGCTGGCAGCAGACGGTGCAGAAGGACTGCATGCCATCCACATCTCATGGCTGCTCGGCAGAAGACGGTGCAGTAGGACTGCTAGCCATCCTCATCTCTTGCCTGCCTGGCAGAAGATGGTACAGTAGGACTGCTAGCAATCCGTATCGCCTGCCTACTCACCATAAGATGGTTCAACAGGACTGACTACAGGACTAAAGAGAATGACCTGGTCAAGTCACTCCAGATTTAGTCCCTGCACCCATGTCTGCCCAGGCACTCCTGGCCGACGTGGCCAGGAGCACCTTGGACATGACGATGACGGCTACCAGTCGTACTGTACCATCTGCTGCCACAAGGCAATGGGTTGATACTGCTGTATAGCAATGCAGTACCACGTCTGCCAGCACCCAGGAGACATACGGTGACGGTTACCTGAGCGGGCTCCATGCTTGCCGTGGTATGGTGTCTGCACAGGTAACTCAGGAAAAAAGGCACAAAACGATTGTCTGCCCTTGCTTTCACGGAGGGAGAGAGGGACGGAATGGGGGCCTAACGATATGTACCCAGAACCACCTGCGACAATGTTTTAGCCCCATCAGGCATTGGGATTTCAACCTGGAATTCCAATGGGCAGCGGAGACTGCGGGAACAGTGGGATAGCTACCCACAGTGCAATACTCCAGAAGTCGACTCTAGCCTCGGTACTGTGGAAGCACTCCGCCGAGTTAATGCACTTAATGCACTTAGAGCATTTTCTGTGGGGACACACACACTCGAATTATATAAAACCGATTTCTAAAAAACCGACTTCTATAAATTCGACCTAATTTCGTAGTGTAGACATACCCTGTGGGTGGCTACTGAATCCAAATTGTGATGCAGAAACCTGCAACTCTGAGCTTGTGCTCTATATCACAGAGCAGCATGTCTGAGACACTGCGAAGTTTGTGTCTTTGAGTCCTAAAATAGTCATTAGAACAAAAACATTGTGAAGAAATTCACAGCTTAGATTCCATTTTAGTCCTTTAGTGCAAGACCATTAAATGTCTTAATGTCATAAATGCAGGGCCATCTCAGCTACTTAGGATTGTTAAAACAGTCATGTGGCATTAACACCCAACACAGCCATTCACCTGTCTGAAGACCCATGTGTTACAAGGAGACAAGCAATAGAGAGGGAATGAACCAGATTCCAACCTCTGTTACAACCAGTGTAAATCCTCAGAGTCAGTGATTGTAGAATCTATGGATTTACACCAGCATAACCCAGATTTGAATCTGTCCCAGCAAAGAGGCATGGAGCTCTCGTTATCTTCCAAGCTTCTCTGATGCTTTTAGCTTCTCAAACATTTCTAGATAGTTTTCAGTCAACCATGGCTCACTAACTTTAGAAGTTGGAACTAGAAACAAAATAGTAACCGAAAGCCAGAAGACTCAAAAAATACATAATGACGACCTTCATAGATAAAAGACAATTAGCTTTAAAATCTTAATGCTACAGGATTAATCCGCTTCCCTCTCTTGCAGGTCTCCGTTATGAATTTGTGAAGGCACCTGCTCCCTGGCCAAGTCAGACTTTGCAAAGGAGCATGGGTTGCCTTGATATAAAGCCGGACCAGAAGAAAAGATTCTCTCTTCCTGGGAGACGACAGGTCTATAGCAGTGATTCAGAGGACTCAGGTCAAACATATGGTGCAGTAACACCACAAAGCTTGTCTGAATCCGGTAAGAGATCTTGATGGCTAGACGCTATCATGATGGTTGCATTAGACATATTACAGATAGACAGATTATATGGTAAGGGGTAATATGCTCTGGGTAAGAGGCCTGCAGTAAATGAGAAGTTTGATCTAGAGTCTGCACTGGGTAAGTGGATCTCTTTGGGGCCTGCAATGATTATGAGACTGTTTTAGGTCAGGCAGATGAACAGACATTGAAGACAAGTGATCTCTTCTAACTGAAGCCTAGAAAAGTTCTGTAATATTTGGTCCCATTTCTTCCTCTATGCAATTATTGCTACACTTTATATTTCCTTTTACATTTCAAAGACACTTTGATCTACTTAAAGTAACTTTCTCTGGGGAGGGAAGGAGAGGGTTTCCACACACAAGCTCTCAGAAGAAATGGTTAGCTACTATTTAAATGCCAATATTAGTTTGCTCAAGAAATCACTTTGTAAATACATTTTGTTCCAACATGGCTGAGGCAGCCAGCAAGGTGGTTGACGTTGAAATTTGACAAAATAATCCAGAGATCACAGGTGTGCTCCTTGGTGATCTGATGGAAATCATTTTTCTTCTCTGTTGTATTGTTTGTATTAGTGTATTTTAATTTTGTCTGGGCAGACCCGAGTGTTGGTTGGGGCTTTATTTTTTAGAATAGATCTAGGCTGGATACAGCCCTTCATGATGTTCCCATAGGCTCCATATTTCCTATGCAATGTATTGGATCAAATTCTGTTCTCAATGGCAGCTGTAGCTGAGAGCAGAATATGGCTCTTAATGGTTTTCTCACTGGAGGAATGAGCTGTGATAAAGAGAAACCTTACAGTGACTATTCCCACTCCAATGAGTGCTTCGTTGGCTAACACAGTAAATTAGAGAAGCCAATGGCATGTTATGTACTGGCAGATGAGTTTTAAATTCAGAACTGGTTGGGGATTATAACTGAATCCCAAAGAGTCTGAGGACAGAAAAGAGAAGCAGTGGACATGTTGGTAAGCTACCTAGACTATGGAAATACAGAGAAAGGTAGGTTAGGATGAAGTGGGGTAAGGAGAGGGCGAAAAGACAATACTAGCAATAGGTTAAAGCATGTGAAATGGGCACAGAGAAAGGGTTAGTAAATAGGAAAACCTGAACAAGACGCAAAAGATCTAGAGCCAGCAATGTAAAAACTACAGAAAAGTCACGAAAATAAATCCCACTTCTATTTATTAAAAATTAACAGGAAGATTTGAATCCATGTCTGGATTTGGATTTCAAACTTCTCCAGGACAA